GGATAAAGCCCATCATAATGAAGCTCACTATTGGCAGCAGAAAGCCAGATTGTATTGGCTTAAGCATGGAGATTGTAATTCCAATTTTTTTTCATGCTTACACTCAGCAGAAAAGGAGGATGAATGCCATTACCAGACTAGTCAATTCCATGGGAGATGAGATGTCTACCAAGAAAGACATCCAAGATCATATCTCAGAATTCTACAACTCTTTATTTTTTTTTCAGAGGGATCATGGGGAGGTGACTCCCTTCTGCAACTAATAACACCATCCATCTCCCAAAAATTGAATCAAACACTCTTGCTACCAGTGGAGGAAGAAAAAATAAAATCAGCTCTATTCAGTCTCCATCCTGAGAAAGCCCCAGGAGAAGATGGTAAGAATGCTCTTTTCTACCAACACTTTTGGACTCTTATTAAATCTAATTTCATTGATGCTGTGATGTGTTTCTTTCATTATGGTCAAATGCTTCAGTATTGGAACTATGCCATACTCTCTCTGATTCCTAAATGTTCTGTTCCTGATACTATTTGCAAGTTTAGGCCTACCAGTCTTTGCACAGTGGTTTATAAGGTTATTTAAAAAGTTCTTGCTCAAAGGTTGAAAGTCTGTTTAGATGGTTGTATCAGTGGATTTCAGTCAGCATTCATTAAGGGCAGACAAGTACTAGATAATGTAATAATAGCCCAAGAAGCCTTCCACTATCTGAATAGACATTCTACTGGTAAGAACTACTTTATGGCATTGAAGCTAGACCTAATGAAAGATTTTGATACAATTGAGTGGATAAGCATTAAGAAGATTATGATTCAGATGAGTTTTCACCTTGATTTTGTCAATCTGATAATGGCATGTATCTCAACCACTTCTCTTGGTTTTAAAATTAATGGCGACATCAGTGGTTTTGTATCCCCTACCAGATAGGGATGTTCACGGTCCGGTTTTAACAAAAAAAACCGTTAATTCGGACCGCGAATCGGTTAAATAGTCGGTTAAAAAAGCCTAAAAAATCCGATGGTTAATTTTTTTAAAAATTTGGAATAACTGGTCCGGTTAACGGATTACTTGCGGCAAACCGCCAGTTTAACCGGACCGGACCGGTAAATATTAAAAACTTATAACAAATATATATATACATTCAGTCATTCACTATGACCGACAAATACAATACATTCACTTTCACTTTTTGGCCTTTTGTTGACTTAATTTTGTAAGACACTATAACTTTTCACTTTTTCCCACTTTTGTTTTTTCATTTTCAAATTTTTCCACCTCCTCTTCCTAATTTTTTAGGACGAAATGTGTATTTTTATGCTTATGGGACGAATTGTGTATTTTTTATTTCATTATTGTTGTTTTTCTTAATTTTTAGGCCCAAAAAATCTCTTTTGGGCCCAAAATTGAAAAATAAAAATTAAACCCAAAATGAAAAAAATTAAAATTGAAAGCCTAAAACAAGGATTTTTTTATTTAACCGGTTAACCGCCAAACCGGACCGTCCAATGCGGTCTGGATTGTGGCCGGTAAAAATAAAATCGATCTGGTTATGGACAAGAAAAAAATTTACCGTTAGGTCCGGTTTGGTCATGGTTTGGGCTAAAACCGGACCAATCCTGATCGTGAACACCCCTACTACCAGAGGCATTAGGCAGGGAGATCCCCTCTCACCATATCTATTCATCATTGTGGTAGAGCTGTTATCAGCACTTGTTGTGGATGCCTCTAATTCTGGTCTGCTCAAAGGGTTAAAGTTATCTCAGTCTGGGCCTTCTATCTCACATCTATTATTTGTAGATGACTCCTTTTTCTTCTGTAGGGCAAGTGCTGACCAAGCTGGGGTTTTAATGGACTTGTTGAATAGATACATATTATTTACTGGTCAAACTATGAATTTGCAAAAATCTGCAATCTTTTTCAGTAGGAATACCCCATCTAACGTCCAAGTGAGTATTTGTGCAACTCTACAGGGCATCCAAACACACAGATCCACTAGATACTTGGGGTTGCCCCTTGGTATTGGAAAATCAAAGAAGGAAGTGTTTGCTTACCTTACTGAATCTACTCAGAACAAGCTCCAAAACTGGAAATCAAAACTTTTGTCCTGTGTTGGGAAGGCTGTTCTTTTGAAATCTGTTCTGCAGGCATTACCAATCTTCACCATGTCATGTTTTAGACTGTCTGCTTCTATATGTTCTGCTTTATCTAGTCTATGTGCTCAATTCTGGTGGAACTCAAGTGCAGCTGAGAACAAGGGGATCCATTGGAAGAGCTGGGCTAAAGTTACAATACCAAAACATAATGGTGGCCTTAGATTTCTGTACATCAAATTATTCAATGAAGCCTTGATCTGCAAGCAGCTCTGGAGGATTACATCTCAACCAGATCTACTTGTCAGCAAAGTTCTCAAGGAAAGGTATTTTCCTAACTCTTCCATATTCCATGCTTCTAAAACTCAAAAGGGATCTTGGTTATGGAATTGTTGGCTAGATATCCTTCTAGTATTCTCTAAATGGCTGCGAGTGGAAATCATAATTGGTATAAATACAAGGATTGATGATGTCAATTGGGTCCCCAATCTGCAAAAGGCTAAACCTGAATTACTTGCTATTGCCAGAGAACACCTTATCTTTGTTCAAGACTTAATGCTACCATCTGGTTTAGGCTGGAACGAGTGGCTAGTGCAACAGGTATTCAATCCTGAGGACAGTGCTGCAATTCTTGGCATCAACACTCTACATTCTAACAGAAATGATAGAATTTACTGGGGATTGGACAAGAAAGGACAGTTTTCTGTGGCCTCCACCTATGCTTATTTGGTGCAGCAGAAGGTACTTCAACTTGACTTCCCTGAATGTAGTGACAACTCTAACCCATGGAAGAAAACCCTAAAAAGAACCTAGTCATTGAAGGTACATATGAAACTCAAGTCATTTCTATGGAAATGCATTTCTGATTCTTTGCCAGTTCTCACCAACCTTAAGAAAAGAGGAATGGAAATTGATGTTATCTGCAGAAGTTGTGGTGAATATCATGAAACTATACAGCATGTCTTGCTGAATTGTTCAAGAGCACAAAGAACATGGCACCTAGCCCCAGTCACCTGGCAGGGTTTATCTCACTTCACAGACTCATTCAGAACATGGTGGCAGCATATCTTTTCAACCAATCACTCTGAAGTGGATGAACATAGAATACAGCTGACTACGTACTTGCTATGGTGGCTCAGGAAGACCAGGAACCAGTGGATATTTCAAGACTCAACTCCCCCACCACACATTGTGGTCAAAGCAGCTCATACTGATTGGATGGAATTTTTATCTTCAGCTGCTCCTGGATCCTCTTAGCTTTATTTCTTTTGATTTTGGTTCTTCTTTTTAGTCTTTGTGAGGGTAGATAGATGACTAGGCTATGTGGCAGTGGTGATCTTCTACTCTTATTTCTTGTTCTTTAGTCATTTGTTGAGGCTCTAGGTCATCTCTTGATGTACCTCTCAAGTGGTTGTTAATTTTGAACTGGTGTATTCGGCTTTGCTCACGTTTCAGTTAATAGATCTTCCTATCGTTTTTTTTTTTTTTTAAAAAAGACCTTTACAAAATCGTAAAATATATACTATATACACACTAAAAAATCTGAAAACAATGCAAATAAAAAAAATTATAACTATATATGCTTCAATTTCTGTATATTTAGTATATGTCCGACCGTCTGTGTACATATTATATCTTTTTTTTTTGTATATTTTTCGTAATTTGAAGTTTGAATTTGAAATTGCAAGATTTTTGGCCAAGCACGATGTGGAAAGAGTCCAATTATTTAATACTTATACACTTACCTTATCTTTTTTCACTTACAGGTGATTATAGGAACTCTTTATCTTAATTAACATGGTAATTGAATTTTACATGAGATCAAATAAATGCAATGGATATGGTAGGCTTACAAATATCTTTTGGGCTTCGTAATCCGGCAATTATTTTGCATTCTTGTGCTAAACATCAAATTTTGCCCATAACTTTTTATTATTAGGTTGAGTTAGAGATAAATATAGTCTACGATGTTCCATTGTTTCACCACCAATTTATATAACCATTGTTAATGTTAACGTCAAACACAGTGAAAGTGTTTTTTCCTTAAATAAACGATTGCTAATGTTACGTCAAACACAGTGAATGCATTGTTTCCTTTGCAAAATTCTGGCAAGCAAAACTGTGGTTATGTTTACCCTTGTGACCGTCTGGATAATCAAGCAAATCCGGCGACTCTCAGATGAGATTGAGTAGCCTCGTTGAGTGCCGTCTTACATCACTCATCTTACGCAGTCCTTCTCACTTTAAGCCTGCTACATCTCTTTACCAGCCAATCAATTCACCACTACATACGCAAAGGCCTGCTGGATCTCTTTATCTGCTAAGCCAATCACCACCATTGTGAAAGTGCCGAGTCTACTAGCCTTATAAAAATTTTGATTGTACATTTGCAAAATAGTGTTCTGACCAAAAAGGGAGTCCTGCAAATACAGAACCCATGATTAACACAAAACCTCTATAATATATCTGCCTTCAATCCAAGCCCAGAAACCGTGAGCAAATTTCAACTGGTTCCGATCAAATTTGAAGCGTTAGGAACAGCGGAAGGGCTTAATTTCATATGCCACTGCAGAGTCACAGCCAAGTACAATGAAGTTGAATGAACTTTCTTGACAACTCGGTAATTACTAGTTGAACATGATCTCCAAGATCAGAATTTTCAATTTTATCCGAGGTCACCAACATATATCACAATTGTACCGCCAGTCATCATGTAAAGCACCACATATCAATACAATGATTCAAACCACAAAAATTTTATCTTTTGAAGACAATATTTTTGTTTATGAAAAACTAAAATATACAATAGAATCCCGGATTTATATTCAATTGAATCATCAATGAAGATCCATCCATGATCCACCCTATATTAAAAAATAAAATGAAAAAAAAAATTGATAAAAAATGTACTTCTAGTCCTGCTGCATTTCTTGATCACTATGTGGAAATCCACTACTCAGATTCCTGACACTAGAATCAACCCAACCAAACCCAAACCCGACCCAAATCCCTCTCCTACTCTCTCCATCACCCACCTTCTTATCACCATCTTCGTCCTCCTCGACCGGCATCTCATATCGACAAACCGGGCACGACCCGTGAATCCTTAGCCACCTCTCCACACACTCCCCGTGAAACCTATGGCCGCAGGGCATTTTCCTAGCCTTCTCCCCAATTTCCCAATCCTCCAGGCAGACGACACACTGGTCGTCGTCGTTCTCGATCTCCACACTCTCCAAGGCTTCAATGGACGCCTTCGAAGCCGGCGGCCGGCCGTTTTGGCCGCCGTTTATTTCTGTTGCAAAGGGGCTGACGAGGATGAATCGACCGCGTGGCTCGAACGGACCGGCCTGATCCTGGGTTTCGTGAGGTGGGCTGGTGGAGGTTAGGCCCATGATGAGGGGGAGGAGGAAGGAGATGTCTCTGTGGCCTCTGTGGCTGTTGGCCATGAGGTGTTCGATGAAAGTCGTCAGTGGCTCCGATGAAAAATCCGCTTCTGAAGCCATTTTTGGAGTTGAGTAGCAAAATTCTGGGGAGAGATTGGGTTTTGGGGAGCTGAGAAAATGCAGAAAAATGGGTATTACTTTCTTTTCCGATGAACAAGGGATTGGAGAAAGTTAGGGTTTTTAAGGAAGAAGGCAGTCGCCGACGAGAATTTTGTGGAAACATCTGGAAGCATTATTATAGTCGCAAGCTGTTTTTGTTCGTTGAAATCATTGATTTGATGATAAATTGAATAGCGTTCTTTTATTCTTTTACAATGAATAACTAGACTAGATAGTTTTATGCCAAGTGGAATTACAATGAATAACTAGATAGTTTTATGCCAAGTGGAGTTGGATATTTTCTGGGGTTTGGATTGGGTACGTGGGGTTTCACCGTTATTCTTGTGGGCTCTTTGTTTTTTTTTGGAGTGGCTTTTTGTTCCGCACTCCGTGAGCCAAAACAACTCGCACACAGCATAGAGAAAGTCGAACGGGATAAAAGAGCCAGTCGTGGGTACACTCTTGAAGAAGCGGACAACTTTTTCTCTTCGCAATGGTTATCGTTTTTTGGAATATTAGGGAATTCAACGAGCCCCTAAAGCAAGATGATGTTGCTAACCTTAACGGAATAGGCGTTTTGGATCTTTTGGAGACGAAAACCGTCAGTAGGTTCCTTTTCTCTTTTTGTGAATAGGAGGTTGTCGGATTGAACTTTTTGTGATAATTTTGACTTTATTGATTATGGGCTTACTGTCATTCTTTGGAACCCTACTAGAGTTGACCTCACGGTGGAGGACATCATGCCTCAAGTCATTTTTGCTAAGGTCCAATGTAATATTAGTAACCACTCTTTTTCTGCTAGCTTTATTTATGACCTTTATTCGAGAGGCGATTGAAAATTATTATGGCAAGCGCTCAAGGCCTCTCGTGGAAGGATCTCTCTACCTTGGTTGCTTCTTGGGCACTTTAATACTCCCCAAGCCAGAGGAGAGAATTAAGGTGGTGAGAGTAACTAGTCGGAACACAACGGATTTTTTGGATGTTTGTGCTACCTTGGGTTGTCGGACATACCTTTGAGTGGTTTATTTCACACTTGGACCAACAATCATGTGTGGTCTAAGCTTGATAGGGATATGTTGGATTCAATTTGGGAGAATGTCGATTTCTTTTCGCACGTGAACTTTCTAGTCCCAGGTATCTCCGATCGCTCCCCCTATATCGTGACTATCTTTGAGGCTAGGAGCACTAGAGGGACTTATTGGCTATTCTTTAATATGTGGACGAATCATGAGTTTTTTGCCATGTACCCAAGATACTTGGAACCAAGGAGGAGGGGGAATGAGACAATACCGCCATAGCACAAAGTTGAAGAACCTTAAGAGCAAGCTTAAGGCACTTAATGAGGAATCCTTCCCACACATCTCGTATCGGGCCAAGGATGCAAAGAATGCCCTCAAGCTAGCCCAACAAATGCTTCATGACCATCTCGATGACACCGACACGAAGTCGAAGATGTCTTCCCTTAGACTTCTAGTGCTTAATTTGGCCAAGGCGGAGAAGCTCTTCTACCAACAAAAGGCCAAATGCAACTTTCAAGTAATGGGTGACAAGTGCACCAAGTGTACCATGCCTTGGTAAAGAAGAGATCGAAGCGTAATTTTATAGTCTCGATCAATCGGGAAAACGAAACCGTGACCGACTCCCTTGATGAAATCACTAAGGAATTTTTGGGCTACTATGAGTCTCTCTGGGGAACCGGTATTAATACGAAGGATGTAGACGCCCACGTTCTTAATTCGGGACTTTACTTCTTGCCTTGGTGACCGAAGTCGATATCAAGGCCATTCTACATGATATTACAGGGGGGAAATTCCTGGGTCCGAACGGCTATACCTCCTCCTTCTTCTGGAAAAGTTGGATTATAGTTGGAGTCGATGTAGTGTTGGCAATTCAAGAATTCTTTCACTCTGGCTCCCTCCTCATCCAGTGGAATCACACCGCTCTTACGCTTGCTCTGAAGTCCTCACACTCCTCGTCAGTGACGGACTTTAGACCAATAGCGTGTTGCAACATGTTGTACAAAATTTTCTCCAATATCTTTGCTTCTTCAATTCCATCATAGACGAGGCCCAAGCCGCTTTTCTTAAGGGGAGGAATACAACTGTAAGAATATGTGGCCCGAAAGCATTGGGCTCACAATTAACTTATTCTATTGGGCTAGGCCTTTATTTAACAGTCTAACAAATCTAAGCCATTAATCTGGATATTTGATGGACATACCAGATCTAAACACAACCCTATATAAATTGGTCCTCTCTCCTCCTATTAGGGTACGCAGTTTTATCCCATCACTTTTTAGCTACGTTAAGGAACGGTCAGGAGGGAGAAACTAATTTAGATCTCACAATCGATCAAGCCTGGTGTGATCATCAAGATCAAGATCACTAATTATACGTCTTCCGCATCAAGTAAGTATTTCGTATACACCAAATTATCCATTCAAGATCCATGATAAAGTTTACAACAACAACCACCTTATGCACCAATTTCTCTGTCAATACATGAGGAAACAAGTTACCCCAAGGTGTACCATCAAATTGACATCCATAAAGCATTTGATTCAATTTCTTGGGCGTTCTTGAAGGAAGTGCTCGAGGGTCTTGGCTTCCCATCGGCCTTCACGATGTGGGTCATAGAGTGCGTCACAACCCCATCCTACACATTATATATTAATGTGAGCCTTAAAATAATGGAGAGTAAGGGGATTAAGGTATCGATTAGAGAGTCGAGGATGATGATGGAAAGGTCATACCCTTGCCAGAGTGGTGGTCGTTCTCGCTGGAAGTAGTGGAATCTGAAAAAATAATAACGGAAAGGTGTCAAAGGGAAGCATTTTAGGGTTTTGAGGAAGAAGGAAGAAGAAAGAGAAGGAAGATTTCCATGGCTAGTGTATGAACGAAAGTTCAAAAAAGAAGAATTGAGAACCATAAAATTGAAAAGTTAAAAATAAAAACATAAATTTGAGTTTAAAAGGACTTACTCATTGTCGTGGTAGAGAAATGTTGCCGAAAAGTCCAAAGTTTCCGGGAGAGGGTGGTAGAGATATGTTGTAAAGCTATGTTTTGAAGATTCTATGTATTCCATTTTGATCTGGCCATCATGTTTCAGTCAAAGTACATATGTTTGCAGTTTATTTATTTATGCAAATCATAGTCCTTGTCTTATATTGAGATAGTGTGGTTCGAAGTGTTTTGAACAGAAAGATCACCTATCAGTTCCTTATAAGACTAAATTATTCGTTCACAGTCTAGACAGGCAGTGAGATCCCTCTTGGAAAAAGACTGTAGTGTATTCTTGATTCGATTGGTCTTTGACTGAAGAATTACACTAGCACTTATGATAAGTGTTGAACAGGACCACAGAAGGATAAGATTATGAGACTCACTAATAGTTGTTGTAATCTATACCTTCGGTGATTGATGCGTTATCTTAAGCTGTATTGAAAGATAATATAAAATAGGCATGTATATTCATTTCTTGTTTATTTGATTTACCATGTGATTCCTATTTTTATTAGGATGACATATGAGATATTTTGGTAAATGAGAATGATTATATGATGTGCTATTATAAATTATTGATGGTCACTACGTTCCAGTGCGCTGGATTGATGACGTCCTCGAAATGAGCTCAGGAAGGTACATTATGTGAAACCCTGCAGGTAGACGATTGTGTGATATAATGGTTAATGATCTGAGTGGTACTAATTTCGGAAATGAATAAGAAGTTGATTAATTATTTTTTCAGTAATTTAATTAATCAACGGACGTTAAATCTTAAACATAGGGAGGTAAATCAATCAATCAGATTAATATTATTTAACCATGGAGGTTCGAATTTATTGATAAATTAGGAGCTAAATAGGGAGAGCAATAATATTACTCTAGTGGGATGTTTTATTATTTAATTCCATTTAATAAAGAATTAATTTTGTTCCATATTTATTATTCCATAAGGAAATGAATATTCCTACTAGAATCTTGTCTAAAGTTAGAAGACTTGGGAGTCTTCTAGAAGGTGATGAGTAGTAGGAGAATCTATCCTAGATTGGATTAGTAGATGGAGTAGAATTAGGAATCCTTCGCCTAATGGGATAAGCTCATATTTAGCACCTCCTTAAGGTCCCTAATGGAGCCTATAAATACACCATGTCCCAACCACTTGTACACAATTTTATGCTGGCCGATTTTTCTCCTACATACACGAGAGAAAGAGCATTGTTCGAGAGTTAGGGAGATTTGATTAATCGTTCCACCAAGATTAGTCGAAGTAGGTGTTTAGGTAATCCGTTAGAAGGCTTTTGAGTACAATATATTCGAGCCTTTAATTACATATTTTCCGATCACCTCTTCCCATCGTCCGCCGCTGTCGACCACCGCCGGAAATCCCCGCCAGAAGCCAGCCGAGTCCAACCAATCACAACCACGAGCTACCGCCCGCAGTCGCGCCCAGCCAGACCCGGTCCCAGTCCCAGCAGCGACGCCCAGCGACAGCCCACGAGCTCCTAGTGACACTTGCTTGCTCGCGACCCGATCGCACCTGCTGTCAGTCGACGCGCGCGCCATACTGCGAGCGCCCAGGAGACTTGCCCAGCACGCCTGTGTATGTCCAGTTGCCAGCGCCCAGTCCACCCCGGCATAGGAGAAGCGCCCCGTGTGCGCGCACATGCCCCAGCGTACCCCGCGCCCGATCCGCGCGTTCCCACTGCTAGTGTGTCCCGCCCTGCTCCCGCGCGTTCCCACTGCCAGCGTACCCCGTGCACTCGCACACTGTCCAGCGCCCGATGCACACGTGCATGCTGTCCGCGACCTGCCAGCAACCGAGACCCGCGACTGAGCCGTTGCACCTGACGCCGAGACCTAGCAGTCGTGTTCGCTTGATTTATTAATTAGAATCGATTAAAGGCCAAATCTACCTGCCCATTAGATTGTGGTGTTCAGACGAACTACATCAAAGGTATT